TGTAATAAACCTTCTTGCCATGCAAGACCAGTGCCTCTTCAGTAGGTACTCTCTGGTGGTGTATCTGTTACCACTAATGACTAGGTAGGCCTAAGGCAAAATGAAGACAAAGGAGGTTTGGTGACAGCAGACCACCTCAAATAACCCTTTACCCAGGACCACATATTAGTAGAGGGGAAAATAGAACAAGGTATCAGGTGTGGTCATCTGGGAAAATACCACAGTGTCATGTTATTCATCAGAGCTGAGAGAAACGGTAACTCAGTCCTAGCAATAAAAATCAGTCACAGACCAGTGATATGATTCTGCTTAGCCATTCTAACATCAAAGCAACAGAACTGCAAGTCAGATGATGAAATTGCTGGAGTACTTAGTGTTGTGACCGCTCTTGTTGAAATAATTTTGCTGGAAAGTAAGATTTTAGGCAAGAAAAATAACGAGGCTCATGTACCTGATATATATCTGTTTATTTGTCCTAGATTTGAGAGCATGATAAATCTCACTTGGAAGGTATGTTGAACAACACAGTTCCCATCTCTGAATTAAAATGAACAAAAGCTGCACCTAAACTAAACCTGAACTGTCTCATTGCATACAAGTACAGCTTTCTGCTCCCTATATTGTGAACTGTAGTCTTTGATCTTACCTGTTTGATTCAGAAGCTCTCTGTAAGGACTCTTTTTGGGTGTTCCCCATTTTCATAAACCTCTGAAACTGTTATCAGCCCCACTGAAAAGCATCATCCTTCTCGAGTCACTCCAACATTTCACAACTGCTCAAAAAAGGTTCAGAATAGCAGCAACCCAGGTCCCAAAGCCCACATCAGAGTGTTGACTGTGAGCAGGACCAAATGCCTATTTACAAAGCCTCTTCAAATCATTCCTTTTCCAACTATGGAGGGAAAATTAGCACTCAAAGGACTTCTATCATGTTTCATCAAAATCCGTAGTGGGATCATCTCTGTCCCAATCATGTCTTCTACTGGCTGCCCTTTGAATGGTTGGTCAAATCTCAGAATCACCACCATTAGAACAGATACCTGCAACTGATAACCTTTGAGATGTTTCCTATTCCTCAGGGGACTAGTTAATCCAGATATGTCAAAAGAGTTACAGTACAGGCATACATACCTTTTCCTAGATTTAACAAGAGTAGTAGCCAAGAGATAAATCACCATTACTTATTTCAAATCTGTTTCAGGCAATAGTAATTCTACCATGGGAAATTTTTCAGTAATGTGAAGCATAGCTCTGTATCTTGCACATTGAAAATTGGTGTTCTCTAGAATTGTATCAAATATTCAACACACGTCAGGCCACTCAGCCCAACTAGTCTGTGCTGGTGTTTATAATCCAAGCTTATCTTTCCTTCAGCAATTAGTGCAAGCTGTGACTTGAGATTTGATAAGCCAGAGACCATTTGTAAGTCAGCCACCCTATGCCTCTTGCAAACTCTTGCCTCAAACAAAGACTATGGAACTGCCAAGTCCAATTTCCTTCCGCCTATATGTTTTCTTTTTCCTATTTGTGTTTGTTTTCTGTCTATCTGTGTGTAAGGGGTGGGTGGGGTTTATCAGGAGTTAGGAGCATTAATTTGTAGAGTTTACTTAATTTATTTATTCACCTGTAGCTAGAATCTAACTACCTGTAACAATTAATGATTCTTGTTAAGTGCAGAATGTGGTGACGGGCCACATTGCTGCTTGGTTAAGGTCATTAAGTGGTCCTGAATTGAACACTTAAAAGCCTCATTTAGCAGCAGAGAAAGATGGTTAACATTTCCTTTCTAGAACTTAATTCTGGTGGAGATGTGAAGGCAGCAGAGTTTATATACTCCCCCACTCCACCTAGTTAAGTACTCTCTCCACCTGCAAGCTCACCATCTCCAGGAACAGAAGATTTTGCCTGTGAGCTCTGTTCCTCTGTGTTGCCTGACCTGCTGAGTAATTTCAGTTCACAGTTGTTCAATATCCTAACCTCCAGTTCAGATTGTCATTGAGATTTCATCACTCCTCTTCAACTCAGCCTTCAGGGGTTTTTGTTAAGCCATTTGTTTCTGCTTGTGGCATGTTCTGTTGTTGTACAGAGCCCGTCAGTTGAGTATTTTCGTTTATTCAAGATTATCTTTTCTCCCAAGTACGGCTCATGACCTTCCTGTGTCTTGACTTATTCAACCATTTCCCTAAAATTGTCTCTTGTTGCATACTTGTCCATAGTTTGATTTTTAAAGCTTGGTCATCTCTTTTTGATTATTTTGAGCTTCATGTTATTTTTCTATGTGTTTACTTTCCCAGGGTCGACTTTTTCCTTCTTTTCAAATGTTTTTAATTCCGTTAACTTTCACCAGCCACATGCAATCTGTGCCACATTGCTCCCACGTACACAATTTCAACATATTATCCTATTGAATCCAGTTTGCAATATTTTTCTCTTGTTTGAACACATTGACTTCCCTCTTACAAGAGCTTCTCTCAGTCGCTCTGAGCCTTTTGTAAAATTATTGTCCACTTTGGGTCATTTTAATGATTTTCTGTTCCATTTTTGCTATTGCAAAATTGACTGATTAAGACTTCTTCAGGATCTCCTCTATTTGTACCTTAATTCTCCATTTGTCCATTGCTCACTGTGTAACCGTGTTTATTATAAAATTGTAGAATTTCCCAGAAAGCTCAGTAAGCCTTTTCATTTATGCAAACACTCTAAAAGAGCCATCTACTCACTGTCTAATTTTCTCCTCTTTATTCTTTCATGGGATGTGGGCATCGCTGACCAGGCAATTTGTTACATATTTTCCCTTGAACTGATAGGGCATTGCAAGGGCACTGCAGTGGACAGTTAAGAAATTAAGAGTTGACCACATTTCTGTGGGTCTGTCACATTTCGGCCAGATTGTGTAAGAACAGCAGACTAATTTCTCTGAAGGATTTTATTAAGCCAGATGGGTTTTACGACATTCAGTAATAGTTTCTTAGTCACTATCACAGAGACTGGCTTTATTTTCCTAATACCATTGTGGGATTTGAACCCATGCCTCTACAGCATAAGCTTGGGCTTCTAGTTTCTATTATTACTGTGGAATTGTCTCCCTTTTCCATTTCCCTGTACTCTTTTATCATTTTATTTATCCAATATTATTCCAATATTTAAGGACATTCTGTGCCCCAGCAACCCTGTTTCCAGTGAGACAGAGATGATCTCACTACTGATTTTGATGAAACATGACCGATTATCCCTCTCCTGTCTCACAATTCCCCTTCTGATTTTATGGTGGAAGGAAGGTCATTGATGAAGCAGCTGAAGATGGCCTAGGACACCATCCTGAGGAACTCCAGCAGAGATGTCCTGGAGGCTGAGTTGACTGACCTCCAAAAACCAAAACAATCTTCCTTTGTGCCAGATATGACTCCAACCAGCAGAGTGTGTCCCCCAGTTCTCATTGATTCCAGTTTTGCTAGGGCTCACTCTGACATCACCTCTGGAATTCAGCTCTTTTGTCCATGTTTGAACCGAGGCTGTAATGAGGTCAGGAGCTCAGTAGCCCTGGCGGAACTCAAATTGGGGGTCACTGAGTAGGTTATTGCTGAGCTTGATAGCACTGTTGATGACACCTTCCATCACTTTACTGATGATCAAAAGTAGACTGATGGGGCAAGTAGTTGGCCAGGTTAGATGTGTCCTGCTTTTTGAGTACAGGACATACCTGGGCAATTTTGCACATTGTCGGATAGATGCTAATATTGTTGCTGTATTGAAATAGCTTGGTTAGGACAGCAGCAGGTTCTGGGACATGCATCTTAAGTACTTCTGCTAGAACGTTTAATGGGCCCGATAGACTTTGCAGTGTTCAATGTCTGTTGCCATTTCTTGAATGGAATTGGCTGAAGACTGGCATTATATGGTAGCCATCAGAAAGATGTGAGACGAATCAGCCACTTGGCTCTTCTGGCTGAATATTGTTGAAAGTCCCACAGGCTTAGCTTTGAGGATAGGGATATTAGTGGAGCCTCCTGCTCCAGTGAGTAGTCTAGTTGTCCACCTCCATTCATGACTAGATATGGGAAGAATGCAGAGCTTAGGTCTGATCCATGAATTGTGGAATTGCTGAAATGTCTTTTGGAAATGTATCTCCAGGACCCTCTTAATTCTTAGCTTATATTATTCCTTCAAAAAGTCTCAAAAATTAGTTAAACATGATTTCCCTTTCACAAAACCAAGTTGGCTCTTCCCATATACCTTGAGCCTTTCTAAGTTTGCAAGTTTAACCTCAGTATAACAGTAAGTGTAATGCATTGTATATCTATTGCTGTATCATTCACATTAGCTCAAAGTAGAAATTCAGACTCACGTTTCACATATAGGGCATGCTGGTGGCATGGTGTAAATGTTTCTTTAAAAAGGATTTCATTGTTATATATCCAGGTACAAGCACTGCATCATACAGGTGAGCTTTATGTTTGGCTTAGATATGGGTTTGGAAAGAAGATCACACTGTGATAAAAAAGTACTGTACAGAAAATGTTTTAAAATTATCTCCTCTGTTACAAAAAAAGGAATATAACATTAGAGACCACTGTAAGTGACATTAGTAGACAGAGGCTGTAACATCTGTCTATCCCCCCAATTTAACCCATTTAAAATAAAAGGATTGATGCACACATTAATATTTTGTTGAGGGGAATGGCGCACAAGTTCACTTGCAAAGATCGCAATAGTGATTTAGTGAACAGTGACTTTTGCTACCTAAGGATTCTTCGGGTGTGACTCTGTAACCTTGTGCAGTGTCCCGGGAATTTGTTCTGATGGTAAGTGCATGTCGGGGATTTAAAGGAAGATATCGCAGAATGTTCTGTTTGTTAAAATCAAGGAAAGGAAAATAGCACACTAAGCACCTGTGATTTTACTCCAACATGCTGAATCACAGATTCATCCCTTTAAAATAGTCTGACATAATTTGCACTGCAAAGCCAGTCAATTTTCGACTACTTGTTGGGTTGTTTCCAGTTGACTTGAGCCCTGTATCCATGCCAACCAAATACCGTTGGCTGGGAGAATTGAAGGAGTCCAATATCTATAAATAAGGTTGCAGAGATGAGTATATCTTCTATTATCACCTTTGAATAGAATAATACAGACTATAATACATTTTGTCTTTGGGAACTATTTGTATTTATGTGACCATATGAATGTTATTAAGTCATCTGCATACTAGCAATGCTGATGATTAACTTTTCATTAACAATATATTAAACACTTTGCATACGTATGCAACTGACTGTAAACTTTGCATTTCTTTGCTGTAACATCTTCTGATTTAATGCCACATTTTCTTAAGTTTCGGGAAGGTACACTCGTGACTCAAGTTTTGGTAATTTTGTGTGCCAGTAACATGGGAATGACTTCCCCCCAGCAATGATCTGTGTTTTTTATAGTTAAGTGTTTCTTAATATCTAACATGAATATAGCAAACTGTTTATTAGCCGGCACCTCTGGGACCAGGAATATACCAGTTGATCACATATAGTGGTTGATCAAATATAGTGGTTGATCAAGAGGTCCATGTAACCAATCTAGAAACTCACACTAGTTATTAGAAACTAATGCAGAGGGCATACGCATCACTGTTATACTTCATTTACAGCATAAATCACTTAAATACTAACAAATAAATCATACCGACAGAGAGCCTTCTCACTCACACCCTCAGCTGACTACTCGGCAATTGCAATAAGGCAATAAACTTCCGGTATTTCAGGTAAATATTTTTGCCAGTTTATCAAGAGTGCTGGTTCATTAGGTTTACTGCCGTTTTTAATACTCCTCTCCATTATGTGGAGTGAATGGAATGATTTCTGTCAGCTCATCCCAGTGAGTGTATGTTAATTCTCTCCAGCTTTATCCCCCATCTTATTACTCCCATAGTTACACCCTTAGCCTCAGAACCTGTATAACTACTTTCCTCTGCTGCCAAAAAGCCGGTTTGCAAGTTCAGCAGGTGATTAAGCAGGCAGAGTTGAGAATTGGGAGGTTATGCTCCAGCTGTATAGGCCACTGGTGAGGCCACACCAGGAGCACAGTTTACAGTTTTGGTCTCCTTACTTGAGAAGGGATGTGCTCGCACTGGCACTGGAAAGGGGGTGTACTAGGTCGATTCCAGAGTTGAGAGGGTTGGCTAATGAAGAGAGAATGAGTAAACTGGGATTACACTCATTGGAATTTAGAAGAATGAGGGGGCATCCTACAGAAACATATAAAATTATGAATAGATAAAATAGGAGCAGGAAGGTTGTTTCCATTGACGGGTGAAGCTAGAATTAGGGGGCACAGCCTCAAAATATGGGGATCTAGATTTGGGACTGAAATGAGGAGGAACTTCTTCACCCAAAGGGTTGTGAATCTGTGGAATTTCCTGCTTAGTGAAGCAATTAACATTACCTCATTGAATGTTTTTAAGGCAAAAATAGATTTTTGAACAATAAAGGAATTAAGGGTTACGGTGAGCAGGAGGGTAAGTGGAGCTGAGTCCACAAAAAGAACAGCCAGGATCTTATTGAATGGCGGAGCAGGCTTGAGGGACCGATGGCCCTGCTCCTGTTTCTTACCTTCACTCTTGGAGATACTTTGACAGTGTCACCAAATAACTAGCTCCTGTCTCAAATATTCCTATGTCTGCCATGCTTGCACATCCCAACACCTACTCCAGACCCTTGGGACCAAACCTGTAGTCCCTATGACAAGACTTCAGACAGTTTCTGTAGTCTATCAAATTGCACTTTCTTCAAAATCATTAGTTTTCAAAACCAAAAGGTGAGACAGTAATAATTGACTACAGATAAAGACTACAGATTTAAAGTGAGTATTTCAATAGTAATCAAAAGGGCCTCATTGTGCAGTGAACCAGAATGTTTGGATTCAAGTCTGACCTGCTGTGAAGCTGATTTGTGGCTCAGTGGCTACCAATGCTGCCTCACAGTGCCAGGGACCAAGGTTCGATTCCAACTTCAGGCTACTGTCTGCGTGGAGTGTGCACGTTCTACCCATGTCTGTTTGGGTTTCCTCCGGGAGTTCCAGTTTCCTCCCACAGCCCTACAATGTGCGGGCTAGGTGGATTGGCCATGCTAAATTGCCTGTAGTGTTCAGGGATGTGTAGATTAGATGTGTTAGCCATGGGAAGTGCAGGGTTACAGAGAAAGGGTAGGGGAATGGGTCTGGGTGGGATGTTCTTCGGAGGGTCAGTGTGAACTTGTTGGGCCGAATAGCCTGTTTCCACACTGTAGAGATTCTATGCCTGAACAGATTGATTTAAAAGAACAGGATTGAGATCCCTGTCGAGACTGATAACTGCGGCAAAAGAAATTCAAACTTCCAGACACAGCAAGATTTTAAGTTTTAAAGGTTTCTTATGGGAAGGATATTATTAAGATGTAGAGGGTTCAGAAAAGATTTACCAGGATGTATTGCCAGGACTGGAGGGTTTGAGTTATAAGGAGAGACTGAATAGGCTGGGACTTTTTCTACTGGAGCAGGAAAAGTCTACCATCTTTCTCTGCCACAATAAACAGCACTGACTGAGCACTTTTTTAAAATCAACTTGTATTTTAAATTACTGGACAGAACTTTCCCTTTCTACTTCCAGCAAGCAAAAATACTGCTTCACTGATGTATTTTATGTCAATCATTTAGACATTCAGTTTTCCTAGAACCAGGCAAGTAATTTTTAACCACAGAACTGTACATCTCAGTGAGGTTTCTTTTCAGGGGATTGTTTGTGAAATACAAGTTAATCCTCCTGACTCATTTGAAAAACCTCATGAACTTGGTCTTTTCAATCTGAGCACAAGCTTCCGTCTGCATTCCCACACAGTGAACTATCACATTTGCCATCTGCCAGGTGTTTCTCCATCTCTCTCTACATACATATATCTATCTCTCTCTCCCAAACCCACCCCACTTTTCCCCCAAATCCTGGCAGACCGCCTATGCCTGTGACTTTTCAGAAAACCTTAGAAACCCTTCTCTTCACCAGCCTATCTCCGTGGCAGCATGAATTTCACGGGCCTTGTATCCAAATAGAAATGCTGATTAGCTGTGCTTTAGACCCCAACTTTATTCTGTTTTAGAAGTAAATGTAGGATTTAAAGTATGACCATTTTTAATCCAACATTCTCAACACCTTACTGGCAGATGAATCGCTGTGAACACGGATGCTGTCAATGTTATTGTGTGCAAGTGGGAGCACCTTTCAACTTCCCTTTAATCTTTAACAGGCACATCACCCCAGTCTTAACCCTGCCCAGCTGGAATTTCTACACTTCAGGAAACCTGGCAGCCAAAGGGAGGTATAAATTGCATTGTGGAAGAGGTAAATGCCTTCCAAACTTGCCTGTTTTCTGTCACATCGTCCCTCTTACCTCCTGCCCATTCTGTCGCCAGTTCGCACTTCGATGAGCAGACGTCTCACCCATCCATCAGAATCCCACCCCTCTGTCATTAGATCCTTCAGAACGATAGATTTCCAATCCAATCTCTCAAGGAACACTGCCGTTTACCAAACTGTAGGCTTCCTGGACTGTGGTCTTCACCAGAACCCATCTGAGAGGAAACCAAAACTGTCAATCAGGCTAACTCCTGGGTGAGGGATCAGCTGGGAAATAGACTCAGAGAGTCATACAGTGCGGAAACAGCCCAACTTGTCTATGCTGACCAGGTTTTCTAAACTGAACTAGTCTCATTTACCTACTTTAGACCCATATCCCTCTAAACCTTTCCTATCCATGTACCTGTCTAAATGTTTTTTTAAATGTTGTAATTTCTACTCGCCTCTACCACTTCCTCTGACAGCTCATTCCATACACGCACCACCCTTTATGTGAAAATGTTGCCCCTTAGGTCCCTGTTAAATCTTTGCCCTCTCACCTTAAATCCATGCTGTCTAGTTTTGGACTCCCCTACCCTGGGGAAAAGACTTTGGCTAGTCACCCTAACAAAGTCCCTCATGATTTTTTAAACCTCTAGAAGGTTTAAAAGCCTCAGCCTCCGACGCTTCAGGGGAGAAAAGTCCAAGCCTAGCCAGCCTCTCCCCATTCGCTCAAACTCTCCAGTCTCGGTAACATCCTGACAAATCTTTTCTGCATTCTCTCAGAGGAGGAGTGATCCCCACCTGTCCCCTTCACCATCCCTTCCCCTCACCCACAGGCCACATTCTGTGAGGATACCTCCTCTGCAATAATCCTCAACACCAGCACCCTGCAAGGCTGTGTACTCAGTCCCTTACTGTATTCCGAATACACTAATGACTGTGTGGCCAATTTTTGTCCTAACTCTGTCTACAAGTTTGCTGATGACGTCAACCATTGTAGGCTGGATCTCAAACAATGATGAGACAGAGTACAGGAAAGAGATAGGTGCTTGGTGGCATGGTGTAGAGATAACCATCTCTCCCTCAATGTCAGCAAAACAAGAGAGCTGGTCATTGATTTCAGGAAGGAAGGTAGAGGTCATGCCCCTGTCTACATCAATGGAGCTGAGGTGGAGATGGTCAAGAGTGTCACGTTCCTCGGAGTGATGATCATCAACAGTCTGTCCTGGTCCTCCTACAATGATGCAATGGTCAAGAAGGCACAACAACGCCTCTACTTCCCCCGGGGGCTAAGGAAATTCAGCATGTCCGTAAAGACACTTACCAATTTTTATCGATGCACCAAAGAAAGCATTCTATCTGAAGATATCATGGCGTGGTATGGCAATTGCTGTGCCCAGTACCGTAAGAAACTACAGAGATTTGGGAACACAGCCTAGTCCATCACGTAAGCCAACCTTGCATCCACTGACTCCATCTACACTTCTCACCACCTCGGGAAGGCAACCAAAAAAACCAAAGATCTATCCCACCCCAGTTCCTACTTCTTCTGTCGGGCAGGAGATACAAAAGTTAAACTCACGTACCAACAGATTCAAGAACAACGTTTTCCCCGATGTTATTAGACTTCTGAATGGACCTCTCACATTTTAAATTCAATGCTGGTGTCACTCCTTGTGCATCTTCTCTCCAGTCGTAACACTGTATTCTTAGCTCTGCTCCATTATCCTAATGCACTTTGTATGGTGTGATCTGCCTGTACTGCACGTAAAACAAAACTGTTCACTGCACCTAGGTTCATGTGACAATAATAAATCAAATCAAATCAAAAACTCGAATCACCCCTCATGTACAGAGGTTACCAACCTGATGGACCAGACCAGGAGTTGGAGGCTCCATATCTCAGTAATGAGGCCTGAGGCAGCCAAGGCCACTCTCCAGGTTGAGAAGCCTTCTCTTTGATATACCTTCTCAAGTCCTGACCTGACCTCTCCTGGTGGGGCTTCTGGGATGCTGACCATCCTCATAACTGGATCAAAGGCATAGGGAGCCCGCCCGCCTGCTCACTCTCATTAAAAGGATGACAAACAACCAAATAATAAGCCACCTTATGGAGGATTCTACAAGCCCAGACCCAGGACCCACATTTAATCCTGAATACAGTGTCTGGAAGCCCCTTGGGATAATCTAGCCCTATGTGGCAAAAATGTACTTTAAAAAATATCAAGTGGTCATCCCATGCTGGTATCTTTTGGTTGTGAGTCAGGAATGAACTCGCCCGGCGATCTGTAGAATTCCCGATAGGATTGGTTAACTTTGGGTTGATCTCCATCTACACAAGTGTTACATTCCTAATCGTAAAGTGATAATCCTGATCAGGTATTGTTGTATATCACTGTTAAGTGATGTAACATGACTGCTAATGTATCCCCAAAACATGACCAGAAGTTTCCATAATTATGATGGACTTTGTATCTTGCATTAATGCATAACTTGCCTCAGTTGATTCCTGGGATGGTAGGGGATTCCAATGACGAGTGATTGTGCAGAATGAGCCTCTGTTACCTGGAGTTTAGAAAAATGAATGGTAATCTCATTGAAACGTATAAAATGCTTTGCGGTCTTGAACAGTCTGGAACTAAGGGCCACATTTGCAGGGGAAGAGCTGAACCATTCAGGACTAAGATGACAACTGAGTTGTCGATTTAGGCAGTACTGAATACTGATGCACGAGGGCAGTTGACTGTCAGGAAGCTTGGTAATAGCCTGGGGGCTATCAAACAGCCTTGCACTCCAAATTGGATTTTGAAGGCTTCAGTTTCAGATCTCCCACTCAAGACAGCTGAAGTCGTAACATCACAAAGCAATTGCAGGGTTACAGTATAGCTTCCTAAATGTCTAAATATTGGAGAGCACCATCACAGAGCCTCATGATTTACAGAATCACACATTTTAGTCAGGCCAGCAATGAATAGATCCCGAGATTGTTCTCAGCATTTCTCTTGGATTTGTCTGACAACAAAGACCTTGCCGGAGCTTCTCCTGGTAGTTCTGAGGTTATGTTGTGTCTCTAGCATTCCCTCAGGTACAAGAAGATCCGGGAAAATGCATTGTAAGGTTTTCCTGGCCCTAACTCGATAGTTTCCACAGTTATGATTTATCTCCCTTCTGACACGTGCTTACATTTGTCGCATTCCTGAATTCAAGATGAGGATCTTTTTCCACCCAAATTCCTAAGGATCAGTGCACAGAATCTCAAAGTGAACAAAAGCTTTGAAAACCACACCTAGAATAACACCAGGGCCCCTGGCTTTGTTGGTTGTTGTGACTGCCTGGGGCAGCTCTTCCACCAAAGGTGGGGCCTGCACTTGGACTGTACAGGATACTGGGAACAGCCTGGACAGTATCAGCTGTCAGCGGATTCATAGCTCAACGTTTGTTGAAAATGCCCTTTCCAGACTTGATAAATGGCATTGTCACTCTTAAGGAGTCAAATACCATACTGCAGCCAGAAGGGAATTTGTTCATTTGATAAGCTTTGCATATCATGGTCCACGTATTATTGAATCTCTTGGGCCTTCCTTTCTCTCTGGGCGACATTCCTTTGTTGGAATGCTGCCTTCTTGACTTATGACGTTGGGATGTTGTGCCAGGAGATCAGGCTGCTCGTTTTTATTCTTCGAGGGCACAGGGTTTCAGCATTGTACTTTTTGAACCATTTCTGGTGACAACAATACTCAAACACAGTGGACTGAATACAGAGTTTAACACAGGTGACTTTATTTCGTTCCACTGTTCTAAAACTCAGTCAAACGTTTGAGGATTTTCCTGATTGGTCATGAGCTCCACTTCAAATTCCTGTCTTCATTCAGGATGCTTTAAGGTTGTTAATCTTCTTCCACTTGCACCTTTTGGCCCAGCAACGTATTGCTGCCAGTTGGAGTTCATTCCTGATCAAACAGAACGATGACCTGTCCTGTAGGCATTCAGCCCCCTCATGGATTGAGTGGTTTGCGACAAGAGGATGGAACACTTTAAAAGGCATTGCCTTCCAGGAAATGCTTTGCCAGTGGGTGTTGTTTTTCATTTGGCTGGAGATGGTAAGGCAGAAGTCTTTGAATCATACATATGCCCTGAATATTTAGTTACTGATGGCCGTGTAACCATATCTCCGTAATGGCTCTAAATCATATCCATTAACTTATATTTGTGCTATTAATTGTTTTAATTTGTTCTGCATATTTAGTTGAAGAACCATTTGCCTTTATTCCACTTTGGAGTGACACAATAGAAGCTTATAAAGTCATGAGGGTATAGATAAGGTGAATGACAGGTGTTTTTCCCTAGCATGGGGGATTTTTCAAGACAAGCATCCATATTTTTAAGGTGAGATGAGAAAGATTTAAAAAAGATATGAGGGGTAATTTTTTTACACAGGGAATGTTTCATGTGTGGAAGTGGTGGATGAAGGTACAGTTGCAACATTTAAAAGACATTTGAATAAGTTTATGAATAAGAAATGTTTGGAGGGATATGGGCCATGCACAGGCAGGTGGAACTAGTTTAGTTTGGGATTATGGTCAGCGCAGACTAGTTGGACAGAAGGATCTGTCTCTGTGCTCCACGACTCTACGCTTATAAAGTCTGACACTTCCTGTTCCACCGTGGTTATCATTGTCTAAAGAGTTGCCTGGCAATGCCACTGTATCCTTTTGTTTTGTAAGCCTACGTTTTGTCTCTTTTGTCTGCACGTTCCTTTACCTGGTTTAGTTTAAAGCCCTCTCTGCAGCCCAAGTTATTCGATCAGCCAGTACACTGGTCCCTGCATGGTTCAAGTGAAGCCTGTTCCCCCTCTTCTACTCCACTGCTGGTGTCAGCTCCCTCCGAACTGAGTGAATGAGTGCCAAGACAGCAAGCAAGGATCCTGCAGATGCATCCTGATCTGATCCATGAGATGTGCGTAAACTATCCAAGCAGTAATATTACAATTGTAAATTACAGTA